TCCAGAAAATAAGCACAGTGTTAGAATTACTGAAACCGACGCTGTCGATTGATTACGAGAGGTCGAAGGGGTGCTCTATCGTGCGATGAAAGCCGTAATAATGCGCTGCTCATGTGAAACGTAGTTTTATTTTGGATGTTATAGCGCTGTAAAAGGCCTTTCTAAAAAGACTCCATTTCTCATTTTTCCGATATTCAACAGTACCAATAATGAAGTGAAAAGTTTTTGTCCACTGAGAAACTTTCCTTCAAAATCCCTGCCCTGTAACGGAAATGATCTCATTTGCGCGCCACATGTAAATCGTGCTACGCAATGAGTCAGTTGCTTGAGCGACACCCAGCGCTCACGCTCCCCAGCCGACAAGAAATGTGCGCTGAGTGCGACAAATTAACTGATTTTGGCTTTTACAATGCACTAGGAGCTCTTTTCGAACTCAAGTGCATCACTGAACTCGTCGAGGTTCAAGCCATCGAATGATTGCTGAAATTCTAGGGAAAGTTTTGATTAGTGAAATATACGAGAAGCGTGAAACTCAATTACTGAGCTTTACTTCGCCTTGCTAATACAGCGCACTGAAAAGTCAATCAAATCATAGATAACATGCACCATTGAAATTGTCAAGATTCATGCTATCAAAAGACTACTGAAACCTTGAATGAATGGAAAAATGTCTTAGTCTCATAAGACTGAAGGTGATAACTGATGAGGCAAGAGTGCCCATTATCCATTTTTGCCAATGGGTCGGCGCGAGCTTCTCGTTAGTTCTTACTACGGCTAGCGTTTAGGAGGTATCGCTGCTAACAAATTAACGATCATCTGAGTCGGGTGTCCACGTCTTGTACTTCTTTGTGGTGTTGGTTTTCGCAGTCATTGAGAGGAATCGGGTAAGGTGGATAATCGCATAAAGTAGCGTTCCTCAACATTAACGAAACTTGTTGCCCCCGTCGCTAATTACCGTTCTCTAAGAAAGGCTTAATTTTTTATCCATCCTCCGGAATTCTCTAAAGAAACGCTTCCGCTGTGTCACTAATAGTTTCAGTTTACTAAGATTTAAGGTGCTCGACTGCCAAGAAAGTTAGGGCTACGCATAAAGGCTGGAGGAAAAGGTTCTTTCCTTAGCTAGTGAGTGTTCCACCAAGAAAACACCTTGGGATAACGACTGGACCCTTATCGTATTATTATGATATTGACAGTACGTTTTGTTGATTTTTTTTTCTAATGATAAATTGAAAACATGGTTATTAGCAAATCTTAATCTTCGTGAATTAGTAAAAATTTTGAAAGTGTGCATAATGTCAAGAGGGACTACCGAGGCTATTATTTGCCATCACTTTATGTAGTATTCAATATAACAATTTGTCAGCGGTTTCGGCTGGACGCGAAAACGTTCTGTCAATTTCTTCTAAAATTTCTTATTTTTATGGATACTTGCACGGCCCATCTTCACAAATTGTGCAGACCCCAGCACATTTTCCATCTGCTACTTCATCTCGCGATAGTCATCCATGACGGTGGTTTAATTCGACCATGGCGGCTTGAGCGAAATTCGTGATGTGATCTGTAAAATATCGGCAGCTGCGAGTAGAACTGAGTGATTCTTCTTGCAAACACGTCAGCCCAACGTGTGGGTGCACGTCTTCGATGTCGGATGTAGCCACGTGGAGTCCACTCTACATTTCGTTTAGCCCATTTGTCGTTTGATCTTTTTACTATGTGGCCGGCCCATCTGTGTTTCGCTATCGATGTGAATTCTTCTGGATCACGAAGTTGAGACAAATACCGAAGATCTGAGCAGCACAAAGAGACTAGATGTTGTGAGTGCCTACTAAATCTCGGAAGACATCGTTCCACAGCTCTGTGTGTTATTCGCAGTAGTCTTGACGTGATCGAGGTATCACCTCACGTCTGTGCCGTATAACAGAGCGCTGTGAGGAGTGTCGAATCAAAAAGGTGAGTGTGGATTTGGAGCACGCTATCTGATCGGTGGCTTCCTCAAAGGCTCGAATGCTGCCCATGCTGCTCTGTTTCTTCTGTCTGGTTCCTCCTTCATATTGATTGCCATGGTCATTGAATGTCCAAGGTAAGCGTACGAGGTGGTCTCCTCGATAGGAAACCATATAATTCGATTTGCTTACCTTCGCATCATGAATTCTTCATAAACTGTGCTTTCAACCTGTTAATGCGTGGCCCAATCTTTTCCCCGCATCGCTAAGTTTCTTGAGCACCGCCTCTGTTTCAATCGGGACGCTATTTTCAAATGGTTGTGATGCTCGTCGCAGCCGCGCGGGCTAAGTCGCGCCACTCAACGCAATCTGCCAGCCAAAAACGAACACTCTACAAAACGCCACATGCAGGCTATACTCGAGATTAAAAAAGACGTGTTCAACCAGTATTCTTGACGTTAAAGAAGAAGGCAAGGAAACGAACTAAATGCGGAGAAGTACTTGGATCCGCAAAGTAAAAGAAGAAACACTGTGAAGACGGATGAAAAAATGTGCTTTGACAATTTCCTTTCATCAGAGCCACGATTATTCCTGTGGCACGCACCCAACAGTTGCTTCTTGCGACAATGGTCTTCGCAGTCGATCGTTGCCTAAAGACGAATTGAATGGAGCAGGGAAGCTCGCGAAATGATGAAGGTGAAATCGTTAAAATGTAAGTCATGGGAAAAAAAGATTTTTAACAACTTCGTAGAGGCTTACAGACAAAGCAACGTCGTTGAGTTGCAACTGAATTTCTACTGTTGTCTTCTAAAACATCGTTTGTTTGAAAAGCATCAATTCCTCAATTTCTGTCATGAACTGCGGCGCAATCTACATTTGCTTTTATCAAACAAATGTCCTCGAATTTACTGTTATTTCCGAAGAGTTCCACAGGATAAGAAGAGATAACATACCAAGGCTAGTTTCACGTATAATCTTTTTTCTTTCCACAACGAGACTGCGACCAAAATTTTCGATGTACAGTGCCAAAAAAAAGCTCTGAGGATACTACCGCGGTTCCGCCATAAACGATTTCATCTAGCTTTTCTCGTCTTAAAGCGTAAGCTCCCTTTTTAATTATCACTTCCTACTTTGATAAACAATTTTATTGCTAAAATCTTCAGTTCACAAGCTCCCGAATGATAGCTGATATTCCGACAAAGAAGCTCTTTTGATAAAGGGCGGAAGACTTAAACACTTTCCACATAAATGCACCAGCACCTGCGACATTCGTGATGAAATGTGCAGACGTTTAAAGCAATATAGTGTTTTTTCTACGAAAATACGTCTATAGAAAATCATTAATGGCGGTTTAATTTTCTTCGCGAGAAAGTCTACTTAACATGCTGAGGACCATGTGGGGCGTTTCGTTCCACACCGCGCGACGTCAGATCTCTTCAGTTACTGTAATGGCACCGTTGCGCCCCGTGAGAAAGGCGGCGAATCTCCTAGAAGGCAGACTCCAGACAGCATGATGGATGCGGGGAGACGAACCCACATGGTTCTAAGAGAGCATTTCATCATTAAATAGTGGGACTTCATTGAAAAACTTTCTACAGAGATATTCTCAGTGAAGAGAACATCTATATTTCCATATTTCATCTACGTTTCTTATTTCAGCTGTAAAATTACAGCGCTAAATGATAACTATAATGATAATGAATATGATAGTGATAATCATTTTGCCTTCGATAATGCTAATGTTAACGAAAGTGATAATAATTGTCACTGTTTTGAGCTGTTGGTGAGATCTGATAAAGGGCACTTGTACAGTGCTAGATACTGCAGTGACTAGCATACGTGCTTGCAGCTGGTAAATGGATCATACTTTCATGCGATATTGAACATGATAATAATAATGATAGTGATAATGATAGTGGTAGTGGAAGTGATAATGATAATCATAGTGATAACGATAGTAAAAGTGATAATGATGATGATGACAATGATGATACTGATGGCGATAGTGATGGGAGTGATATTGACCATATTGATAGTGGCTAGTGATAACGATGATGGTGATAATGATAGTGGTAGTGATGACAGTGATAATGGTGGTAGTTACAGTAATCATAGTCATAGTGACAGTGATAATTATAGTGGCAGTGATAGTGATGGTGGTAGTGATAGCCATAGTGATAGTGATAGTGACAGTGGTGGTAATGTGATGGTGATAGTGATAGTGATAAATGGCTACAGTGATGGTGGCAGTGATGCTGTTGGTGACAGCGATCGTGATAGTGAAAGTGATAGTGACAGTGGTAGTAATGTTGCTGGTGATAGTGACAGTGATAATGACCTTCAGTGATAGCTTCCAAAAAAGTGGAAGTCCATACCCAGGGCTTACTCTCCTCTTCCTTTCTTCTTTTTTCCACGGTCTCAATCACGTACTGAAACGGCGGCGTGGAATGAGGGCACTTGCTGCAAGAGAGCGCAGGCACAATGACGGTTTTGCATAGAGACGCATATGCTCCGGCTATCGAGTGCCGCAAACGCGACGGCGCAACGCCGCTGTCCATCAACGGTGGGCGCCAGACTGTTAACATCATAATTTTAGCACATAATGCTAAAGAAATCCGCTGTAGAATCGAACAACGCTTTCTGGAAGCAAAACCTTAACATTTTTAATTAGGAGAATGTAATATAGAAGTTCTTCAACAAGTTCAGCCTATTGTGTGGTTACTTGTGGATACTCATGGTATGCCAAGGTCAGTTGGATACTTATGGTATTAGTGTGATTAGCATCTGAAATAAGTGCCCAGTGGTACACTCTTAATTCTCTTTTGAATTTCGAATTTGTTTAAGTAAGCTATGTACGATGCATTCATTCTGCTGAACGACTAGCCAAGCACTTTGGTTGGATTAAGATCGAATATTTTCCCCCCCAATTGGCGTCGAATGCTGCTTCTCACATAGTTTTGAACGACGTCAGATAATTTTTTATGCGCATCATTGTGATTATGCAATGGAAAAATATTTCAAATACACCCAGTGATATTGACTGCGGTGCAAAACTTCAACGTCAGGGGGGACTCAAACCCACATCTCACCCTATCCGAGGTTGCGTGTTATAACCAATTACACTACCGGCGCTTGTTTTGACATCAATCTCTACTCCTCAACACATCAATTTGTCAGCAGCGAACAGTCAACAGTTTGGCCTATTAATTGATATCGACGCTGACCTCAGTTATGCTGATAGATATTGGATATATATGCTATCGACAAGAATTCCTTCTATCCAACCGCTTTTAATCGGTGGTATGATGTTACAAATATGGCAAGAAAACGAAATCAAGGCACCACTAAGCCACAATATGATCGGTTGTTCTCCTTTCGGTGAAGCACTAACTCTGACTGAAAAGGGATCAATTACGCTTAGCGAATTCCAAAAAATCTATACTACTTATCAGTAATTCATGATAAGCTAAATTTGTATTATACCTTATTTTGTGTTTTTCTTGAGACAACGCTCAAATTTCAATAGATCTCTTCATTATTACTTGAGCCAACATGCCTTGTGGTCCGGTGAAGGGCACTTGACCAGCCTGATATACGTGTTTCGACCTACAGTCCCGTCAGTAGGACACAACCCGTCGTCTTTCAATCAATTTATAGCCAATCCTCTGTGAGGTGCTCCAGTCCTCACACTAAGAGGGGGAATACCAGCCAAAGAGCAATACAGTGTACAACACTGTAAATGTGGGGACTGGAGCACAGACAGAGGATTGGCTAAAAAAAATGAAAGACGACGGATTCTGCTCGACTGACGAGACTGTAAGTTCGAAACATGTGTATCGGGCTGTACAAGAGCCCTTTACCAGCCCACATGACATCTTGGCTCAAATTATAATGAAGAGAGCTAAATTAGTATGCAAAAATTTATAGGTTTTGGTTTGTTTATCGATAATCAAGTACTCCGATCACAAGTCGGGAAAAATAGACAAGTTAAAAGAGACCATGATTTCCGCACCAACTGATCTCTGTAGAGCTCACGGTACCATGTTTGTTGAATAATATGGGATATGCTGAGCGGTGAAATCTAGTATATCGCAGTTCAGAAATAGCACAAGCAATTACACCTCTTGTTTCTTCTCCTTCCTTCCGTTGTTAATTGTATCAGGTTGGGGGAAAAAGTTCCGAGAAATAAGTAGTTAAATTATATAACAATCAACGCGGGAGAAGACGGCTTTCAAATGAACCCCAAACACAAAAAATGGCCGACACCCAAAAAAGTTACAAGCATTTTCTCAGAACTTTTCCCCAACCTATTACCAATGCTTGTATACACATCAATAGAGGGATGGTGACTAGAGATTTCACAACGGATTACTAATTATAGACTTCTTCATGTTACTGCAGTATTGGCGCGTGCCAATTCAGTGTTAACGAACCGAAGGCTGTGTAATTTTCTGCAGATCAACATTATCCTGAAGTACTGGATTAATGCGATATTAGCATAAATTTACATCGCTTAAAGAAATGTCATCGAGTGTGGATGCTTCACTGGAGCGGTGTTGTGCGTATGAGAATCCACACGAGCGGCAAGAAAACTTACAGCGCTTGGTAGAGCGGTTGTGGACAGTCGACTCAAACCAATCAGGTTTTCAAAGTAAAGAAAGAGTCAAAAAATTTGCTTGACCTCGTAGTAGCTTAACAATTTAGAAAGCATCAAAAAGGATGGAGCCCCACCCCTGAACTATCCCCGAGAGATTGGCAATGCAGTCGTCTTCAATTTTTAGCTCCGTCCGAGGTGACTGAATGCATATCTGACCTTTACAATAACTCGCAGAGGTCCATCGACGTATCAAGTCGGTGCTGCTATCTTCCCAAGCAAGTCTATGCAACGTTACCGATCTTGTAAGGATGCAAGGTTTGGTGAGCCTTATGCGCGGTATCGAGCCATCAGCTTCGACTGATCGATCATGTGTGCCGCAGAACACTTCTAACAATTGCGCTGCACGCTCTCAACCGAGGGCAGTAGTGATTACTTCTTAACAGGCTTGAATGATATTCGTTTCGTTGCAGATCGTTGCCTGTCGTGGGTTGCTGAGTCTGCTTCCCACGTCGCATATGATCCTGCTCGCAAAATTGTTGGAGTTACTGATCAGGATCGCCAGCTCTCCCGAATCAAAAATGAGCCCTTCGGAGCTGCCCGATTGTCTGCCACCCAGTTTTCTAAGTCCTGCTGGTAAGTGTCCGTCTTTTGGCTGCTTTATTATATAGAATTCGCTAAAATTAATGGAGAGGAGCGAGGGGGAGGAGAAATTTGATAGAAAGAAATAGTCGCTCTTATAATAAACTCAAAGATCAGTGAGATAAATCCTTCGAAGACATGTGCACCAAGAATGCTACACTGGCGTTTTCACGGTTTTTCTGCCGGGCACAGATTTGACACTTAACTTTCAGTAGTCATTGGATAGCTGAGGACATTGTAATTCTACCGCTGGGCTTGGTTTTTAGAAAGGCTTTCCTGGTGCGGTGTAACATCGAATAGAGCATGACGTTTTGCCTCTAGAGTGCATAGTGAGTTTTGCAATCAAGTGTGAAATATGACATTATTTCCTCTGCTACAGCACATATCGCAAGCTTTTCGAAAATCAATAAAATGTTGAAACTAAAGGAATCCAAGCTATCCATAATTCATGGAAATTTGAAGAAAAATTTTTTCACGAAAAGGCTTGGTCGCAAAAGTGTCAAAGGCACTCAAGTACATGATCTGACATTTTTTGTCGTTTTGTCTCCCACTTGAATGAAAGTTGGAAAAGAATCTCAAATTTTCGAAGAGTTGGTTGATTGAAGGAACAACTTCTATGTTCCACAATCAAATTGCAAGTGAATGAATGTTGAGAACGGATGGAAATGGATTAGTGTGAAGTGAAGAGAGTGCTTTGTGGCACGTGAACTTTATCATCCTCGTCCATGCTTCATTTTTCGGTCACGTAATCAGATAGAGATGACAGTTCATAAATGATAGATATTTGACATCTCATTGGTACAGATATGCTGAACTACAAAGCTTGCAAGATTTTTGAGGTTTATGACTTTTGAACAGTTACAAAAGATTGAACCCATGCCACGCATTCCATTAGACTGCTCTTAGGACAAGAGTAGTCCATTGGATTTCCCATCCTTGCGCTAAAAATTGCTCAGTTATGTTCGTGTAATGAGATTCGGTCTATATGATTTATTCCGCCCCATTATTAAATGCCAGTGAACAAGCAAAAGATGGCAGATTTGGAAAGCAGAAAAAATATATTTTGCTAATTGAGAAACACTACGGTTATGTTGCTCTTCAAATCTTGACTCTATGAAACAAACAACATTTGAAGTCAGATTGACGCACAATTAGTTATGAAGTAGAGATGATATGGCGTGTTGACAAATTTTGAGCCAGATTCTTTTTTAGTCCGACTATGGATACACTGGCAAGAGGAAGGAAAGTCTAACTGCTCGTTGAATTCCTCCTTCTCAACGCTGCTGAAGTGACGTCTTCACGTTTCACTGCTAATAATGAGTTTTCCCTTCTGAATTTGGTATGACTTACTGTCTTGATAGTATTCATACTTCTATACCTTGGTATTCTTCTGAAAAAGGATAAAACTGAAATAAGGTAAAACTGTCAAACTGTACACCAGAATGTTCGCAAGAAATTCGCGTTTGAACAATACTAAAATCCTGCAATTTAATTGCTTCTGGTTTATAGAATTGGTGTTTATTTTTCTAATTCCAAAGATATGGAACGACCTAATACATAGAGCAGTGACTATACAAGATGAAAGGTACACGACAACATGAACAACAATAAGCTGTAGCCAAGCTATTGCAATGAACTAAGCGAAGTGAAAGTCGACGGCCGAGATGCAAGTGGCATCGCTGTTAAAGAGTGAAAGAGCTGGCCTTATATACAACGTGTATACAACGTGGAGTTGCTTGTTTTCTTTTAGGAGGGCAGAGACAGAGCAGACAGAGAGTGCTCCAGACCCACAGCGTCTGTCGATCCGTCTGTGGCTGTGCTGAGTGTTCAATCAGGTAGATCATTAGTAGCGCATTTGTGAAATGGGAAAATAGCAGGTAATGTAAGGAATAACTGTTACAGTGTTGGTTTAGACGGAAAAACTCGAGCAATAAAGTTGAATTTGAGATGAGATTTATTTTTAGAACTTTGAAAACTCAGGCATTATTAACGCAATTTGAGAACTAACGATTCAGAACGATCTTCCACTTCGTACGAAGCTACGAGAGGACGTATCTCGCACCTACTATGGCTGCCTACCTCGAACGCATACCATTCAGGTTAGGATTGACAATGGTTGCGCAATGTTATAACGATATACCATTATTCGTTGATTAAAGGGTGAGGAATAAACGAAATACGTCCATGTAGTTCGAAGAGAAACCGTAGAACATGACGGCTTCTTATTATCGACAGCCAGGGAAGCACAGTGCTGCGATGAAATGCTGAGCTCTACTGTGGGCGTGGTTCCACTTACTCTTGGCCCACCCTCGCAGAGGCCTCCTATGCGAACAATAGCAGGTATTACATTCGCTATCAAGCACATTGATCAGATTTTTGTATTGTGAACTTCTATTTCTTATTTTTTTTATTTGATCGAGAACGTGTTAAAGCAACTTGGGCAATAGAATTAGAATAATAGCTGCACTCTCTTGCGGACCTTTGGAAATGTAGGCATAGCGCAGAATTTTCCGGCCCGATTATTCTTCACGACAGCTCCTCAGATTCAGGGTTTCTTCAGAAATACACGTCTCGGCGACCCTCAAACTTTTGACGCGGCACTCTTGTTAGCACTGTTAGCACTGTAATGTGTTAAAATAAGTTTTGTTGCACTTCTGATCGATACTTTTGAAGATAACTTCTCAAAAGCGGCCTTAAGAAGAAAACAAGTCATAAAATTATATTGCATCGTTAGAGCTATCTTATTTTTTCGGGTTTTCAATGCTCTCTTTTAGCGAGAATGAAAAATTTCTGGTAATGGAAACTACGATGGGTAGATCTCAAAGCCATCAGCATTCCTGTAGGCAGCATCTTTGACGTGACAGATTGATGATGAACCGGCTCCCATAAACGTCTT